CAGACAATAAATAATATTAATCAAGATTTGCGGTTTACAATCTTAATAACTTATTTTCTAAATTACACTATTAATGATTGAACATATTATTTAACTATATAAATTTTCAACAGATTTAATTTAGTTAATGTCTAACATTTTCAAATGTGGGTGCTGGGAAATTTTAAGATGGTACCCAGAGCAAAAAAGCTATTTTCTTGGGATAATGATGGTTGTATAAAAATTAATTTCATATGTACAAAATTCTACATAAAAAAATACATAATACTGAATATATATATATATATATATATATTTTAATTTCTAATATGTGGATGACAGTGTAACACATATCATATGTCCTATAAATTTTCATTAAAATTATATAGATTTTGTTATAAATAATTACTTTTGGAGAGTTGTATTCCCTACTTTAGAATTTTCTTTAAGGAATTGGTTGATATAATTTATTATTTAATTCATGATTAGAATTTTTACTAGATTTTTCCATTAAAAAAACTAATTGAAATAAAAAAAAAATTACCTTCTGTTTTTTAGCTTACTTGATAGTGTTGTAAAATGATATTATTTTATTCGTTTCAATTTCATTGGCTAAAAAAAAAAATGTCAGTTTTGGATTGTGAAGGGAGTCATTTTTAAGTTGTTCAGGATTGTTAGTTCTTAAAATGACCTCAGAATTACCCTATCAGTGATTGTTTTTCAGATAATCTGTGTATCCTAAAATATTTAAAATTGACATCTCACATCAATGACAATTTTTTTTATTAGCTATTGTATTATATTAATTAGTAAGATTATAAAACGTTAATAATAATAAATATATTCAAATTGGCATATTTAATAAGCATCAAATTAATTATTATAAAAAATTCATTATTATAACTTGTATTGTACTATAAATTATTATTTGTGAATATAATTTGTTTAAGATATTTTTGGATTCATATCTTTTATATATTAGTACTGATTTCTGTAATATTTAGTTGACAAGAAAATATTTAATAATATTATATGGAATGCAATAATTGCACTATTAATGATTAAACATATTAAATTATTTAACTATATATATTTTCAACAGATTTAATTTAGTTAATGTCTAACATTGTCCTCTTAAAAAACTATTGCTTTTGCCAGAGAGGACAAGAAAATCTACATAACTACAAAGTAGAACGAACTCCAGTATTTATGCTTTGGAGCAATTAAAAATGATTATTGCCCTCTTAGATTATGTATACCAGGTGTGTAAATATGAAACCGGAATTATTTGACATAAAATACTAGTTTATTGTACAAAACTGATACCATACATCCTATTCGAATATTGCCCATCGCTACTTATACATTTTTCCCATCTTTCGGGCAATTTATGAATTCCACGCCAGAAGAATTGTTGCTCTGATTAATTAACTTAATATTGATCTTGTAGATATTATTTTGACAACTGGATTGGAAAAGTATGGTTGAGAAATAGATAAAAATAAAAACAAATTTATTTTTAAAACAAACCTACTTCTTACTCAAGCCAATATTTTGAAGAATTAACTACCTTTAAAATATCTATTCATAATATTAGTTGATCATACATTCTTAATTGTAAAGTAGTTTTCAATAAGTACAATATAATTTATAAAAACCCAGCACAGTGGGGATGTGGCATAGTTAAGTCAAATATAATAATATCTGACAGTGATTAAAATCACTATCATAAAAAACGCTTTGATGCAAATCTGTAGATAATGTTTAATTTTAAAAAATTGGTGGATTATTCCAAAAGCTACGTGATTTCATATTTCCATTTATATCCTGATTACAAGTTTTAATATTTATAAGTGTAATATATGAATAAATATATAAATATATAATGGGAAATGGTCAGATTTAAAAAAAAAGTATGTAGCATAAAAAAAAGAATATAAATAGTACTTATCTTAAAAAAATTATACATTTTTCAAAAATTTATAGCATTATAAAGTTAAAAATATAAAAAAGATTTTTTTACAAAAATCGTATTTTTTTTATTAACTTTGATATCTATTTTTACCATGAAAAAAAATAAAGTCACACTTTCAAAAATTAAGTTGAAAAAGTATTACTTTCTATATGCATTTTTAAGTTTTGAACCCCCCTGTATTAATGAAAAAGGTCCGATTTTAAAAAAAAATTATGTTGAATGAAAGAAGTATATAAATATTATTTCTCATAAAGAAATTGTATTGATCCATACATTTTTTATTAGTAAAGTAAAAATTTTAAATATAAAATCGAGAAATTTTAACACAAAAATAGCATACGGTAATAATTTTCATCATGAAGACAAAATAAAGTCCAACATTTTTTTTCTATAATAAAATATATTACATAAGCTTTAATTTAAGGTAAATATAAAAGCGTCAGCGTATATAAAAATATAATAAATGATAGTTAAAGACATCATGCATCTATAAAAAAAAATTTTATTTTGATTTGGTCATTTTTGAAAAAGTTATGACAATTTTAAGAAAAAAAATTGAAAAAATGTTGAAAATTAGCGATTTTTAAATTTGTAATTTTTTTGGAGATTTCCCGCATTTACAGAAAACAAGGGAAATTTTTTTTAATTTTTGAAGGTAATGTCTTCAACTATATACGATTTGTGATCTTTTGACGTATTGTTGAAAGAAATCGGTTCAGTGAGATCTGAGAAAAAGTGTCTACAGACACAAAAAAAATCAAAGCTAAAAATGATTGTCCTAACTTTTTACCTTCCTCTCATTGTTACACATTGGCTCAAAGTATTCATTAAGTTAATATTTAACAAATTCACCTTTTAATGTGAGTAACTTTACTTCCAGGATATATTTGTTTATTTTGAATAAATTTATTCCAACCAAATAACTTTAATAGTTGCTCAGCTCCATCTACTTCGCCAGTTCTTGATGCAATACTTATACTAATTTTATTTAATGATAAAAATTCTAATACTTTTGAAGATTCTGGATAACATTTTATTATTTGTCCTCTTTTATCTTCTATTTTTCCAGATCTAAAAAAATATATCTTTAGTACTGTGAAATAATATAATGTAATGAGTATTAAATGTATTACGAATTTTTATGAAATGGAGGATCCACATGTGTATCAACCCAAAATGGCCATAAAGTATAATCTACAATCATTAAATAAATAGATAATAATATTTATGCTCATTTACACTTTTTTACAGAACTAAATTTTTAGTTCAGCATCTAAATTCATTTACTTACCATTTACTACTTATTAAAGTTTGACTAAAATTGAAGAGGTCAGAAAATAAAAATGATTACTAACATTTCAAAAATGTACTTGTTTTACTAAAACAAATGATGATATCACATTAAATATTTTATTTGTCAAGTAATAATACAATAGAATTGATTTATATAATGATACATGTGATTGAAAAATATCTTTCTATGAAATGTAAAATGTTATTAATCACTTTTATCCACTAATCCTTTTGATTATTGTTAATTATTTATTCATATTTAAAAATTTTAAGAAAGTAAATAATCTTAAAATTACCTAAGTCAAAAATTACCATTTTTGGTATTTTTTTAAAAGTTTCAATTGAGCTTGACATACTTCATTAAATTTCTAAAACAAAAAATTTAAATTAATTATTTAATTTTTAATATATGATTACACATTGAAATTTCACAATATATTATTGTACACAAGTACAATGTTAATCAATAAATTTTAATAATAAATCGTAAAAAACAAGTGCTACATTAAAATAAATAAGGAAATTTGATTACACTTATACATTTTAAATCTTTTAATGTTTTTTTATTTATGTAACATTATAAACATTGAAATTAAATACATGCATTTTTTAACAATGTAAAAATTACCCCGGTTTTTGATTTTTTGAAAAAAGCTAAAGAAGTTCAAAAATATAATTTTGTTGGTTAATCAATAAATCTTTGTAAGATAAAAGATGAGTTAAGAGTTGCAACATATTTACAAAAAAATTCTGGACTAAGCAGAAAAAAGAACAATAACCGCTTAAATACACTATTTTGTTATCATAAAACTATTTATGATTACTAATTTACTATCTATGGTAACCACCGGCATTTTCTGTTACAAAAATTATTATCAATAAAGTTGAAATATTAATCTAATTTCACTTTCTTTAAAAAATTCATACGTGTACTCTTATTAAAAAGAAGTAGTAAAGATAGTTCCTATTTATTTAAAATTCATGTACATCAGTAAATGTTATTGTTAACACTGTTAAATGTAGTAACAAAGTGTTTTTAAGAAAATTTTATTAATTTCCAATTCATTTATTTATAGTATGTTTCATTAGTTGTGTTTAATAAATTAAAATATTCTATCCTCACCTAAGATGAATATTTATAAGTTTGTTTTTTGAAGTCTTATTATATTAATTTTGTAAGTATAATTACATTTTACAATGTGTGTTATCCTATTAAAGTAATTTTTTTCAGTTAATTTAGAAGTTTAAAAATATTTTTCAGTTTTAAAATGAAAATTCCTTCATTTGGAAGTATTGTATCACTAGTTTTTTTAGTATACCTTATTAATCTTTTTTATTCAATATGGGTTATGATACAGCCACCCAAATGTTCCCATGAAGGATTATGTTTGAAACCTTATTTATTGAGAAAACCAAATTTAGAAGTATGTATTTGTTTAAAATAAATACATTTATATATATATATATATATATAATCCTATTTATTTTTAGTTAAATGTATTTGTTTCAACACAATCCAATCCAAAAGGATCTCAAGTAATACATGTTAGCAATTATCATTTGCCAAAATATGATGAGCCATATGAAAGGTAAAATATTTTTTACGTAGTTATGATGTATAATTAACTATTAAAAAATAATCCACTGAACTACACCTGTTGATACAAAGAATATACTCTTTAATATTTTACATAGTATTTAATGCATATGCTACAAAAATGTCTATTTTGTAACAGGTTGTTCAAAAAGTCTAACAAATAAACACACATTCTATTCACAAAATTTGACTTTATTAGCTAGACATAGTTATTAGACATAGTTTCCTTCTTTATCCATTGTCACATATCAAATCAAAAATTCCTTCTTGTTAAATAGCTCTAAACAGCTTTATGAATCATCGACACATTATTTATTCGGTCCACTGTTAGCAAACGAGGTACCCATTTCGAGCATACCTTTCTCATATCCAAATGTTATTGTAAAATATGATGCACGCGGTCCATTTAGATTTTTATAATGTCAATTATCTCACACACTTTCACTTTACGATTTTTCATTACAATTTCATGGTTATTTTTGGTTTTCTGGTGTATCTACCTCACTTGAGCGGGAGTCCTCAACATTCAGCATCATTTGAGACTATAAGACCGTGTGTAAATTCAGAAAATCGGCAACAAATAGTTGTTTTCAACAAGGCAGAGTTCTTATAACACTTTTCAAGCCATTCCTGGGTTTTCACAGTGTTTTTTCCCATAAAATAGCAGTGTTTAATCAACGTATTAAATTTGTTTTTATCCATTGCTTACGCAATAACAAAAGTAACTATGACTGTAACTTAGAAATACATTGATGAAATGTCATGAAATTTTGACATGTTTCTTTTGAAGTTTGGTACTAACTAAAAATCATAAGGATAAAAGTTATTAAAGTCCCCATTTATTATTAGCACTGAGACTTTTGAACCTTCAACAACCTGTTAATTATATTAAATTAAATTAACAAAGTACTTAATATATTAATAATTAAACTATTTAAAAATTATTGAATGTAATAAGTAATGAAGTTACATTACTTTTATCATATAAAAGTAACTGCATTTTAATAATTGTTAGATTTTTTTCATTTATACATTAAGTATATGAGTTATTTAAATTAAATCACTTATACCAGTAATAATTTTAATCAAATTTCACTCAAGGTAGTATTTAAAAATTCATAGTAGGGGAGGGACACAAAAAAAACTTTCAAGCTAACATAAAAACTTTGAGGGCGGCATGTAGTCCTATGCTTTCTCCAAATACATCACTGATTTCACTAAATATATTATATTAAATTACAAAATAAAAATATAAGAGTGAAATTAATATAAAATATAATTTAATTGTACAGTATTATTTTGAGTTTTATTAGTTTATTTATTTTTAAACTTTTTCTTTTACTTTTAATTAACAGAGTAATGACTGTACAACTTCCACGAAATACAAAAAAAAATGGTACTTTATATGGCCATGTATTTTTGAGTAAAGTCAAAGATACTCGACAATCAGGAGAGTTGTGGACATCATTATTATCTGATTATGATACAGTCTATACATTAGTACCAATGTCAATTTATAAAATTCCGGATTATAAAATTTTTCAATTGCTTAATGATGATAAAAATATTCAGAAGAATTCAGAAAAACCTGTTACTCATATAAAAGCTGTAATGCCTGTAAGCATGTTATCCGAACCATTACATTTATCACAAATCCATATGCCAACTGATATTTTTCAGTATATCAGGTATGTTTTAATTTGTAAGAAGCTTTATAGACTTTTAATAACTTGCATTTAATAAAATATTAAACATGTGAAAATATCAAGTCTAATCCACTTGTCTTGAAAATGATTCAACTATCCAACAAGATGATTTGCTGAATTTAGTTGTTTCATTGATTCAATGTTACAACATTTTATGGTTTTATTTAAAGTTTCATAGTTACTATAATTCTATGGGACAAGGAACACATTAATAACATTTAATATCCATTTCTTATGTTATATGAATTTTCCAATCATTTAGAAAAATAATAAATTTGCTGCTGCACCTTATATATGCCCTAAAATATTTAGATATTTTCTTAAATTAAATTTTTATCTTTATTTAATCAGGAGATATAGACAAAGCCAAGAGTATTTACCAGTATTTTTACATAATTTTCTTCAAGATCGATCATATAATGTTACAAAAATAGATAATGATACCTCTTCAGTGCCTGTACTACTTCGCTATGAACCTATAAGCTATGCAGGTTTAAGGTAATATAGAACTTTTTTTTTTATATTTATATAGAGGATGGGATCATCTTGTATATATTCTGTATAGTTTATTTATCTTGAACCACTTAATTAATCAAAAAATAAAAAATTATGTTTATATTAATTTTTTAATTATAAATAATAACCACCAATCAATTCTTATTAACTAAAAATAATATTGACAATTTTTATTTTTGTTTCTTTTAGATTATATGTTTTTTTAATTTATCAATCATGAAGTATTTTTTATGTTTATTCCTTAGGGTGTAAACTTCATTTTTTTAAATGCCAACATATTTTATTAACTAGCTTTTTTAATAGATAATGATCTAATTAAGAAAATTACTGATTAATAATAACTTCTAAATCAGTATTTAAGAAGTTATTAGCTTTTTAAAATGTAAACTTATGGTGAGATGTGGATGCTGTTATTTTATCAATAATCATTTCTCAACCATACTCTTCCTCCTATCTATGTTTAAAAATAACAAAAAAATTCCGAAATACTGATCCAAAAGATGTTGTTGTCTAGTACTTTTCTTAATAAGATCATCATCAGCTATTAAATAAACTAGTTTATTCAGTATATTCCCTTCTGAAAAAATAAAAATATCACACTTTTAAGATATAAAGGATAAACATAATAAATATTTCATCATTGATAAATTAAGAAAGCATACACCTAAAAGAAACAAAAAAAAATTCTCAATACTATTTTTATTTTTTGTTTAATTAAGTGGTTCCTGATAAATAACCCTGTATTTACAATTCTAATCAGTGACAACCATTATTTAAATAACTTTAAATAAGTATTACTTCTTGTTTTAGAATATTAACCCAAACACAATTAGCTATGGAAACTATGAAACAATTTGGTTTCAAAGATAAAGATATTGATGAAATAAAGGCTATTTTTGATACAAATCATTATTTATTGTTAATCTCAATTCTTGTTGCATTTATTCACGTAAGTTTGATCTTATATTACATAATAGGTATTATTTATTTTTCTTTAAAAATAATTGCAGCTCCTATTTGATTTTCTTGCATTTAAAAACGATATTTCATTTTGGCGATCAAGAAAAACCATGGCTGGTTTATCATCTCGTCTGGTTTTATGGCGTGCATTCAGTCAAGCAATAGTTCTTCTTTATTTGATAGAAGAAAAAGCTTCATTGCTTATTATTATTCCAAGTACAATAAGCTCTGTTATAGAAGTAAGTAATAAGTTACATACCTCTTTTCAGATTATTTAGTTTAAACATGTATATTATAAAATTGATTAATTTTTTAAACTGTAATACGCTGATCAACAAAAAAAAAAATTTTCAGTTGCAGAGATGTATAAAATCATTTCTGAGTATATTAAAATCACTGATTTCAGCATTAACCATAGATATTGCCCTATAGCTCTTTGAGATTATAAATATTTTTTGAAAAAAAGTGTGGAAGCTTTTAAAGTTATCTAATTTTTGTAATAACTGTCCAAAATCAAATAATAATATGTCATATGAAAGATACAGATATAGAGAATATAATACAATACTAAAATGTCTAATTCTTTAACTTAAATTAATTTTACATTGACCTAAAAAAACTATGAATTTTTATTAAAATTTTTGTTAAAATTTTATTTTATTTTAGATTTGGAAAGTATTTAAAATTATACCAGTTGATTGGAGAAAATTAAAATTTAAACAAGTCACATTGAATCGTGCAGAATTAGATACTAAAAAATTTGATGCAGAGTCAATGAAATATCTATCATATGTCTTATACCCCCTTTGTATTGGCGCTGCTATATATTCCTTAGTATACGAACCTCAAAAAAGGTAAATCATTATAGATTATTTTTAATTAAAAATATTGATATAATTAATGATTAATTAAAAAAAATAATTTATTTTTTAGTATTTATTCATGGAGCATAAAAAGTTTAGTAAATGGAGTGTATGCTTTTGGATTTCTATTTATGTTGCCCCAGTTGTTCATTAATTACAGATTAAAATCTGTAGCTCATTTACCTTGGAAAACTTTTATGTATAAGGTAAAAAGATATTTTACTAACTTCTTATAATAATTATCATACTTTACTATCTGTACCCTATTACGATAAATATTTTTACAATATAAAGGCTATTAATAAATAAATAAATATATTCTATTTTCAAACAATATTTATAAATCTAGGAACTGATACAATTTTGATCTTTATAATTTTTCTTATGTGTAATATATAAAAGTTCATATATGTTAAAACAAATTTTAGTACATGTTGAAAAAATAATTACAGAATTCAATGATGAGCAAAGAAACACCAGAAAAACTTTGTTACTAATCATGACTAGCTAATAAAATTTAAGGAATTTTAAGCTCATGGGCTTTGGAATGTTTGTCTCCATTACTCTCTCCTTAATCTGGGCCTATCTACAATTATTAACCCAAGAATTTCTTGAAAAGAAATTGGTATAGGTCAATTAACTTACTAAATATGGTAAAAATTGTCAAAAAACCTAAATAATTTTGATTTCTAGCCTTAGACATGTATAGATTTTTGGATCCAAAGCAACAAAGACCTACATTGGCCTACTTAAAAAATTAAGTTTATGTTTTATGCAATTTCAATTAATTGTCCCTAAATATTTCAAGAGTAAGTAATTACTCTCTAATTCCCCTTTCCTCCTTACAGATAGAGACATTGCTAGAACATTCAATTGATGAAGTTTATAGTAATATATTTAGTAAATTGAAAAATACTGCGTCCTTTAAACATATATAAAATTAAAGCTTATTTGATGTACTACAAAATGAAAAAAAAAAATTTGTCCCGACGACCTATCTTCTATATGCAAATGGCTACCGTATTCAAAAATATGCTATTTTTGTATTAAAATTATGGGTTTTGTATTTTATTTTAATAGAAGTTGATGTTGCTTTTGCAATTATCCATCAATTTTTTAAAATTAAACACTATCTACAGATTTGCATCGAAGAGTTTTTTATGATAGTGATTGTAATCACTGTCAGATAAAATCTATACTGGACCCAACTATGTCTCCACTATGCCGCGACCCCACTGTGCTAACGTTTTTTTGTAATAATATTTAATTTTTATTTATTTTGATGGGGAATGCTATAATATGATATGTTATTAGAAAAGTCGGTTGTAGTAGGACTACAAAAAGTCCTACTAAATTCAATTATTTTAAGTCTGACCACTTTCTAGTCAAATCTTCTTCTTAGGGGATTTCTAAGGTTCGGTATCAACATTTGGATGACCTATGTTGATTCTAACTAATTCACCTAATATATCAGACCATTTAGGAGCAGCAGAAGCAAATTTTACTGTCCTTGTGCACACTCCAATGTTTTTATCCCTAATTTTAATATATAATAGGTACAATATATTACTTATGAGTAACTATATAGATTCATATATCAATTTTTTTTTTTGACAATATTGATATTGTTATTCTAAAAATACAAGTTTTTAAAAAAAAAATACTCCGATATTTTTATTTGTTTCAAAGTTTTAACTATCAAAAAGCTTTTATTTTTAATCTTTAGGTACTACACTTGTTAATAATTAACATTTTAAATTTATTTTATTATTTTAAAAAATGTAATTTTTTAAATAGTTTACTAAAATTGTTAAATATTTACCATTATAGGCGTTTAACACTTTTATTGATGACCTATTTGCTTTCATCATTCCAATGCCAACTGCTCATCGATTAGCATGCTTTAGAGATGATATTGTGTTTTTAATTTACATATATCAAAGATGGTAATTAACAATATAGGTATTATAAAATTATAATAAAAATAAAAATTTAATTTTAGGCTTTATCCGGTTGACCATAACAGATTAGATGAAGACACTGAAGTAACAGATACAATTTCAGAAATAACTAAGAAGAAAGATGAATAATATTTAATTACTTTTTGTTTTATAATAATGTAATATTGCTCATTACTATAAAATTATAAATTATGGAACTTAATTTTTCCATGTAATTTAAATTCTTTATAAATTGTACAGTTCATCTTTAATTATTACTTAGATATAATTATAAAGAAAAAAATAATATCTATTATTCAGTTTATTTTACAAAAAATTGGCAACAGAAAAATATAAACAACAATCAACATGCTTTAAAGAGTAAAAGTAGAATAAATTAATCAATTTTAAAATCTCTCTTTAGAAATTGTTAATAATTTTGTATTCTAAATATATCACTATTTAATGATATAATAGTTATAAGTTTTATTATAATAGATATAAAGTTTGAACCCCTATTTACATTTCTTTGTTAATTACTAATAATTTTCTTTATAACCTACATCATTATATTTGTAAATAATTGAGGGAAAAAAATAGCTCTATACTCAATTATCATGTATCATTTCTTATTAATTTTAAGATAATGAATTATTCATAGATATATTTTTGTATACATAATTAAAATTATTTATGAGAAGATAATATAATACAGTTCTGTATTATACAATATCTTCTCGTTAAGATTGTAATGTTATCTATTGTGTTAAACTATTCCAACATAGTAAAAGTAAATTTAAAAATTCAAAAGAAAATAAAGTATTTTATTTTTGATAATTTTAATATTACAATACTAGGCTCCGCCCCAAAACCTCTAGCTTTTGACATCAGTGTGTAAGCCTCTTCTTTATAAATATGTCACCGATTCTGTTTAGGGATAACCGGCTACGCCAGTCACAATAAGTATTTTGCAGAAAACTATTACTTCAGAATCAATGTAACAAAAATATAATAAGAATTAAATTTTTTAAATCAGAAAAATTCAAAAAGAAAAAATAATGAAACGTATTGGGTATGTGGTTAAAGTTTGCTTTTTGGTAATTCACTAAATTTTCAGACCTTTACCAATAATTTTCCCATAGTTTCATGACCTAGTACTTCCATTGAAAAAAAAACTTTGAAAATAGGAGCATGCAAGTAATTTTTCAGAAAAGCATTTTTTCCTTGTTTTATTACATAATAAGATATCAAACCATTTAATTTCATTATTATATTAAAATTTTCTCCAATATAAGTAATTATTGTGTAATTTTACTGTCTTACTAATATCAATATTAAAATATTTTATTATTTTATTCCAAATTTAACAATTTTTAACAGAAATAAAAATAATACTTCAGAATGTTATTTTAATATTTTTAGGACATAAACTTTTAATTACGTTATTCTTTAATATCATTAAAAATAGTCAACAAAACTAAATATGTGTTTGTGTGTGTTCATTTAATAAATATTATATTTAAATACTTTTTATTTGATAAAATATATATATTTGTATGTTCTTCACATATAATAATAAAATCAAAATTATTCTTATTTATAACATAATAATAGATTAAAAAGTTCAAAATTTATTCAGACATCATGTCACTTATTAATATTGCTAGATTAATTATTTCCATTTGAATATCATATCCTGTTAAAAATAGTTTATCTAATATTTTACAAATATCACTCATTCTTGTTCTTCTTCCAGGATGATAATTCAAACAATTCATAATTATGGCTCTAGAATTATTATTTTTACAAACTCTAAGGTCAACTTCAAGAACTGAAACACAAAATCTTAAGCACCTTTTTAATGCTAGATCAAAAGTGCTACCATTTCCTAATTCAAGAGATCCATTAAGAATACGATTAAAAGAATCCATAATATATTCCCATAAACTCATTTCATTAAAACACTTCCTATAAGGTGAAAGTAAAAATTGATCATATTCAGATTTCATATAAGATGCGCACGGAGGGTGCATTCTGAAATTCTGATCCAATACTGTGAAATATTGTTCTACTAAATCATTTTCTTTACACTCTAACATTTCATTTGCTAGAAACTTTAACATATCACTATTAAAGTATGATATTTTTGTAATATACATTACAATATGTCTAACTTTTCCTTGTTTGAAGGTTGCAGCCAATTCAGCTAAATTGGTACTAATGGAGGATGCATTTTGATTGTGAGAGTCTTTCAATGTTAAATTTTCAAAACATTGACAAACCATAAGTGCATTTCTATTAGAAATAACAGTTCGAGATTTTATATACTCGCGAACTTTTGAATCACGAAGAAGATTCATTTCAATGACTAAAAATTAAAAATATATATTTCATATTAAATTAACTAATAATAAAATAAAGGTATTTGCAAAAAAATAATTACAAATCAAAATTTACTGATAAATAATTGACATGAAATATTTCCAATTAATTGATTGTTAGTGAACAACATTTTTACCTTAAGTAGAACAAAAAAAAATAAAACTTATCACAGAGACATTGTAAAAATTTGAAAGATCCTATCATAATTAGTTATAAAATGTTTAATTAGCAATGCTTTCTTAATTACGATAAAATTCTTCTATGTAAAACTTAAAAGACTTTGATTAATGAGAAAAAACATAGGTAAATAAGACAATTTGACGTCTCTCGATTTAAAAAAAACAGCCAAATCTTTCACAATCTTTAAAATTGTAAGTTACAATAAAACACATTGCATTTTTGATAAGATAATAGTAATTCACACGCGTTCGCACTGATAATTTATTATTTACCTACTTACATCAATTACAACATAAAACTTATCTTAAAATTATGATGAATCCTATATCATTCTGAAATGTAAAAAATTATTATATAGTAACTTTTTATTTTATTAGTTGCACTAGTGATTAAAGTTTTTAGTAACTCTTCTTATATTCCTTTTCAATTAGAATTCTAAACTAAATATTTTCTTGTAGATATTATGTTAACTATTTTATATTTTAGTCATTCGCCCGTTTATAATGTACATCACAGTTTCTTATAATTACCTGAATTTATAAATTAAAAATAACTTTATTAATATTTATGAGTGAATTATTTTATAATTATGGATGTTATGTTTGATGGCAATGCGAATTTGCATTGCAAACCTAATGCTTTAGTTGGTAATTTTGGATGGTTTTTACAAGCCCTTTTAGCCACTTTGGCGTTTTTATGTTTGATAAGTAAGTTAATAATTTAGTTTATGTTTCCTTTACAGTATTAAAATATATGTAAATTTATCCAAATATGAATAAATACAAATTTTAATTATTAAATAAGAAATTACTTATGACTTAATACTTTTGATTATCTAAATCTAAAGTAGCTTTTAAGATTTTCATCTTATTATGTAATTGTTCAATAATTTAACTATAACAAATGATTAAAACTTATATTATGGAAAATATTAAAATTAAGATACAAATCTATTTTATCTCTTCTTCTTCCTCGCTTTAATCCCAACTACTTGGGGTCGGCCACCCTTATCCTAAACTTCCACTTGACACGATCTACACTCACATCAACTGTCCTCAAATCGAATTCAATAGCATCCCTCAATCTCTTTTTTGGTCTCTCTCTACCTCTTCTTCCTCCAACATTCATTTCTATAACTGTTCTTACAGCTTCCGATTCTTCTCTCCTCATAACATGACCAAACCATCTAAGTCTATTTTTTCTCATCTTATCCACGACTGACGCTACACCTATACTCCCTCTTATATGCTCATTCCTTATTCTATCTTTTCTAGTCACTCCACTCATCCATATAAGCATTCTCATCTCTGCTACACTCATTCTCTGCTCTACTTTCTTATCAACCGCCCAACACTCTGAACCATACATCATAGTTGGCCTTATTACAGTCTTGTAGAATTTACCTTTTAGCCTCATTGGAATTCTTTTATCGCACAAGACGCCAGATGCTTCTCTCCACTTCAACCACCCGCTCTTAATTCTGTGTCTTACATCCTCGTCAATACCACCACTCTTATGCACAACTGACCTTACATACTTAATAAAACTCTCCACCTGTCTAATCACGTCCTCATCTATTGTCACTGACCTCCTCATTTCACCTACCTTGTGTTCTCCTTTGTTAAACTCGTACTTTATATACTCTGTCTTACTTCTACTTATTCTTAAACCTTTTCTTCAAGAGCTAATCTCCACACCTCTAGCCTTTGATTAATTTTCTCCTATTAACACTATATCGTCAGCAAACAACATGCACCACGGGACCTCTCCTTGTATTTCTCTAGTAATTTCATCCATCACTATAGAGAATAAGTAAGGGCTTAAAGCAGAGCCTTGGTGCACTTCTACTCTTATCCGAAAACTTTCTAATACTCCTATGTTTTTTACCCTGGTATAAGTGCCATCATACATATCTTCTATTATATTAATGTACCTTTTCAGGACCCCTTTTTTCATTAATGATATTACGAATTTTTATTATCTACAAACAAATAATGCATAAATGAAACACAAGTATTGTGTTGATAATAAAAATAAAAAATATAATATATTTATTTATTTATTATTTATTAATAGTTTTTGTACATCATTTTCATTTTATATCATATGTTTTTTTTTTTTTTGTTAATAAATAGTTAAACGATTTTGTGAACCTAAGTATGACCGTAGACCATGGAAAGTATGGTTCTTTGATACTTCAAAACAAGGTTTAGGAGCTTTACTCATGCATTCTGCAAATTTATTATTAGCTGGACAATTCCAAGATGATCCTTGTACTTGGTAAGCATTTTTCATGTTACTTTTATTATAATTAGAAATTAAAGTATGTATTGCATTGTTCTTAGTAATAACATATAATACAAAGTAGTAGACATCTTTTATAATAGAATCAATTATTCCTACTAAATATAATTATACAAGATGTAAACTTTAATTAACAAAATTATTATTGATTGATTTTTGCATAGGTATATGATACACTTTTTACTAGATTCATCACTTGGATTACTTTTAATATTTTGTGGAATAAGATTTTCTCAGCATATTGCACGAGTGAAAAATTGGGAATCGTTTAATTTTGGGGAATATGGTAAATCTCAATTTTAAAACAAATGACTAATAGTTTTTTTAATAAAAAAAACTGTTTATACAGGAAAACCAGAATCTATTAGAATCTGGCTTGTTCAATGTGGATTATATCTAACACTTTTATTATGTGTTAAAATAGTTATTACTATGCTAATTTCACTAAAAATTTGGCAAGTTATTACAAAATTTATTATGTATCCATTTACTGATCCAATTACTGAATTAACTATTGTTATGTTAATAATACCTTTGTTTATTAATGTAAGTGTATATTATAGAATATTTTACTATAAAAAAAACTTATATTATTTTACAATTATCAATTAAATTGAGTTATACATTTAAGGCACTAATGTTTTGGGTGACTGATGATATACTGATGCATCGAAGTCGTCACCGCATGGGACTTCTTAGGCGAATGAAAATTCAGTATCACAAAGTACATCAAAATTCTCGCCTTGATGAAGTTGCAGGGTCTGATAATGAAGAATTGCTCAATCTAGATGAGACTACGATGATTTTGCGCTCTTGACCTAAATTAATTAAGTAGTATATATAAACTATTCATTCAAAAATGTTTAAATACTCTGTATTGTGTTAAAAAATTACTCTAATGCTAACCTTTTTATTGATTCTTCTATTAAGTGCTATAGATACCTATTATGTATCAATTGATCTCTTCTATAACAGTTTTAAATCCTTATGATGGTTTTTTTTTCTTTTCTATGGAATTAATAATTTGATTAATACTCACTATTACATTTCTTTGATGTGAAAACAATATCATAATCTATATTAATATGTATTATTATTTTTTCATTATGAATTTTCATTTACATATTACATATTTAAAGGTAATTTAAATTAATAAGTTATTGGAGCAAAATAAGTATTTTAAACTAAACCTTAAATACTTAAAAATGTGAAAAATTATTGCTATAATTATGGTTATAATATAAAAATTAAATTGATGTATAACTTCAAATAATATGTAAATTCAAATCTATAAGTTACTAGAATTTTTACAAAACTATTAAAAAAATAGCACAATACATTAAAAAGTTTTTCTAAATATAACAACCAACAATATTAGTCATACTAATTATCTTATCAATTTTTTTCAAAATTCAATTGATGTTTATAAATATTCTTTTCTATTTTCAAGTTCATTTTTCAATATATTAAAATTAATTTTCTAAAAATTAAGTTTATTACTTTTTGTTTTACTTATTTATATGTATTAAAACTATATTTATAATTAATTATTCTGTCACAAGTTGTTATACTTTTAACTTTTTGTTTTTAATATTATTTATGTATTTAAAATCAAGTTCCAAATGTATGTAATCCAAGTCTTATTATATATTACAAATTTTATTATTGACAAAAGTTTTTTTTAAATGTTGTTATTATAATTAAATATTGTTAATAAACCTAAGACTGTGATAACAGAATTTATAATGATGCAATTTTTTTTATTGTGTATTTGGCTATAATTTTAAATTGGAAATGTATGTAAATATTTGCACAGTTTTATATTTGTTTTTCCTATATCTGTATTGTGTTAAACACAAAAATATCAACACCAAAGTATAGTGATATTAAAGCTATTTGTTATTTTATAATTTAAAAAAAAAATTTTAATATTTAATATGAAACACTAAGAATTCATGGAGTTTGAGTCATTTGCTTATTTTTAAATTTTACAATTACTTTTACATTAAAAATGTTTTTATTATATACTAAGAACTACTTTAGAACCTATATGTTCTAAGCTACTTATATATATTTTTTTTTTTTAATAAGTAAAAGTAATTTTATCGTACTGTTATTTTCTTCAGTATATTTATAAATTATTTTTTAAAACTGTTACATAAAATATTTAAATGAATGATAAATTTCCAACAATTTATACTATAAGTATTGAAGGCTTGGACACCCACTACTATCCTATCATCTTTTATTGTCACTGTTTTTTTTTTTTTTTTGAGAAATTTATTGTAAAACAGTTTTTGTTATTAAATGAAATATTTTTGGTTTTTAATGTATATTTCCATTCATCATTATAAGATTAGTATATCTAATCATAATTAAACTAAAATTGTCCAACTTAAAACCTTAAGTTTTTATCAAAATTATTTCTTTGTTTCAGTTATTTTTTCTGACCAATAATGATTTAGTATAAATATAAACTAAAATGGTTTAATCAATTATATAATAATTTTAGAGTCTACCGGATATCATTGGATAAATAATTGTTAGCAAACTAAAAATTCACTTAAAAGTTAAGTCTAATAAATGAATGGTACAAAATCACCACTGAGATTAATAATTTCAATACTATTATTTCAAAAACTTAGACGTGTTAGTAATTTTAATTGGATAGCGATACTGTTTTTAATAACAATTATTTAAAAAATGATTAAAAAAAAATGTACACCATTCTCGAGATATTTCTCATATTAAAAATTAAAATTAGAAGCATGATTTGTTCAAAGTAATTTTGCAAACCCTAGTAAATAATAGTTTTTAATACAGTAACCAAACAATTAACAAGTGTTAGTCTGTTATCGAAAATAATGAACGAAAAATATAGTTATCCTTGATAACAAAAATGAGATCTGATAATCAATTTACTATCTACTTCATAACAACTTTATCTTCAATGTGTTCTTTGAAATAAAAAAAGTAGTTCCTTCGGGCCGGATTTGAACCAACGACCTATGGATTACTATGATTGTTAACACTACAGTCCACCGCTCTACCAACTGAGCTACCGAAGGATATTTAAAGTGTAATAAAATAATGTATTTAAATAAATATGAAAAGACGCTTAAATTAAATGTAAAATTTACCTTTCATATCATGTTTATACGATTAATTCAAGTGTAACTCGCACTTTCACTAAAACGAGACATACGAAATAAATGTGTTCAGTAACACATTCTTGTATTGTAACTGCCTATGCACAAGGATTTAGTTATACAGCATACAATTTAATAGTACAGGCAACAATAATAACTTCTGCGTTTAAATTATATTTATGATTTGTTACTAAGTAAAGTCATGTATGATATCATATGTGTTTTTATAACAAACATTGTATATTTATCTTATTGTACAAAGCCATTCATTAAGTAAAAGATAATCATTTTCTTATCAACTTTCGATAATTTGAAATTTTATAAAGGAAAATATTATTTAATTAAAAAAAGCTACAATAATATATATTTTAATTTTTTTTTTTATCTCTAAGGATAAATAACCAAAACTTTCATTTTCTTTAATGACAACAATTTTTTAGTTTTATGGATATAATACAAAAAATTTTAAATAATTTTCTATTTATAATTTCTTTTTATCTGTTGAACCATTTTTCTGTTATTGCTTGTTTATGTTTAGCGATTTTTTTACCAATTTTCTATTAATAATTTACTGTTTAGCATACAGTAGTCGTCATTTGTTACGGGTACAATCGATATTATACATCCTTCAAAAATCTTATCTTCAATAATTCATATCTATTAATTTACATATACTCTTATATCAACGCAAATTGTTTTATTGCACGTGTTGAAATACCTGAGTGAAAACATATCCTTGATAATTACCATAAAAATAATTCTAGATCAACTGACACAGTTTAATGTGGTTTTAGGTTTTCTAAATACCAAATTTCTATATTTAATCCAAATCTTTAACACGTTGACGGACAGTCACTGCTATAGCAGTCATTGTGTTTTAAGTCGTAACTTGACTATAACTGCTATAACAATGATATATTTAGAAGTCTTAAAATGACATAACTGTTATAGCAGACATATTTATAATAGCTTTATCGTATTAAGTCAGATCAAATGTCCATTTACAACTTGCACACTTGTTAGGCAAAGTATTGGATGTATTCTAAAAATAGATTGTTGAAAAATAATGTGGTTTTTTTTTGTATTTCTTTATTATGCATAATACAATCTTATTTGTAGAAAATGACAATTTAATCATCAACGTCATATTTTAACTATAATACTATAGGCCAGTCAACGAAGGAAAAATGGCGGAAAAAATTCCCAACCAAATTTTTTTTTTTTAAAAAGTTGAATTAAGATATGTATAATGACATACTAAAAGTCCTCATCGATTGGACTTGAGCTTTTTTTTTTACAGCCTCGCAAAAGTTCAAAAATATGAGCTTTTTTAATTTTCTCAAAAAATATATAACTTACAAAAAAAAGTTTCGTACAAAAGTTATTTAAAAAACAATTTTAAACAAAAAAGGTATCTTATATTTTTTCATTTAAACAAATATTTTTCGAGTTACATTACATTTAATATGAGTACTAAAATTTATTTTCCAATTTTTTTCATTTTACGGTTACTTTTTATCATGTTATACTTACATTAGACAAAATGTTATAAATGCATATGTGTGTATGTGTAAGTATTTATTTATAGTATCATTAAACTGTAGTGTATAATAAGATACAACCGATAGAGTAAGTAATTGATTTGACGCTATATTGTTTAAACCCAACTAAACGCTAAATTGTACATTCCTAAACAACAATTATATTATGTCAATTGCCACCAGAATTTTTGCTAATCTTTTTCTTTTTCTTTGCCTTAATCCCAACTACTTGGGGTCGGCCACCCTCATCCTAAACTTCCACTTGACACGATCTCCAACATCTTCTACGCTTACATCAGGTGTTCTCATATCGCATTCAATAACATCTCTCCATCTCTTTTTGGTCTTCCTCTACCTCTTCTTCCTTCAACATTCATTTCTATAACTGTTCTTACGGCTTTCTTTTCTCCTCATAACATGACTAAATCATCTAAGTCTATTTTCTCTCATCTTATCCACGATTGATGCTACACCTATACTCCCTCTTATATGATCGTTCCTTATTCTATCTTTTCTAGTCACTCCACTCATCCAACTAAGCTTTCTTCTCTGCTACACTCATTTTCTGCTCTACTTTCTTATCAACCGCCCAACACTCTGAACCATACATCATAGCTAGTCTCACTACATTGTTGTAGAATTTATCTTTTAGCCTCATTGGAAATCTTTTATCGCATAAGACACCAGACGCTTCTCTCTACTTCAACCACCCGCACTTAAACCTGTGTCTTACATTCTCGTCAATACCATCGCTCTTTTGCACTATTGATCCTAAATACTTAAAACTTTCTACCTCCCCATTCACACTCTCGCTTATTGTCACTGATCTCCTCATTTCACCTACCTCATGTTCTCTTTTTTCAACCCAGCCAGAATTTCTGGTAATGATAAAATTAATTGTCATAAAGTGTCTAAAATTGGTCTTGTTCTAGTAAACTCAATGGTAGATAATAACTTTCATGATATAGATCTTAAAAGGTCAAATAAAGTTATAACTGTATCTTCAATAACTTCTATTGTTAAAATTAATAATAAAATAATTAAAGTAAATCCACTGCTACTATTTCAACTAATCGCTATTTAAAAAAAAACCAGCAGTGTCCCGGCACAGTGTGTATAATTGGGTGCAGTATAGATGATATGTGACAATGATTAAAATCATTATCAAAAAACAACACCTTGATGCAAATCTGTAGATAGTGTTTAATTTTAAAATTTTAATGGATTATTACAAAAACTACATGGTCTCCTATTTCCTTATTTATATCCTAAATTCAAGTTATATG